AAATCTTTTTTTTTTTCATTTTTTTTTTCTTGTTTTCGAAACATCAAAGAAATCTAGATTACTCACATTATACAACTTGATATAGTCAACAGCCACACGTTGTCTGGGCCGGCTTATAACCTCACCATCATCTGAATCTGCTCTGCCCACATCAGGGGTGTTATTTGAAGATCCTATTCTTCTCTCAAGGACTATTCCAGATTCATCCTCGAGCGACACCATAAAACTAGAACTACATTCAGAAGCATTAGGCTGTAACCCACTATCACTGCTTTCGATTCTATCTGGATCATAGTCGTCATCTTCAGAATCATCTGATGGCCATGCTTCTTCCGGGCACACCATGGCATTTCCATCTTCTAACAAATTAGCTTCTTTCTTAAAAACATCCTGTCACAAATTCCACATACAAATAAGCATCATCAAGCAATGGATGAATAATTTGTACAAAATTATAAGTATTTTTTTTTTTTTTCAAATCAACCTGCCAATTACAATCGAGAGGGAAGTGGGTCCCGAGGTGAGCGTTTGTTATGTCCAGTATTTCCATTTTCTTCTTGCAAAATTTGCAAAACCACCCTTCGTCTCCCGGGGGAACTGGGAAATTATAAAATTCAACATGTGCAAAAGGAATTTTTTGACATATTGTATAACTCCTACACAGACTAGAAAACTGATTTTGATGTACAAGAAGCATTTACGGTGTAAGAAACCTCACTATTTTCTGTTGACAGAGGTGGATCCATACATTGCTGGTGAAAAGCACGGTTGCAAGTCCCATCACAAAGTATAATGTCGTTATCTGGGAAAGCTTCACGCAACTGACATTTTGCGCAGACTATCTGCAAATTCTTACACAAGAAAAATATAAATGCAATGATAACTACTCATCAGGTACAAATATATCATGTGCTTTCTTCTATTGATGGCTTAAGTTACATAGAAACGAGAATGAATTGGCACTGAAAGTATCTATACCTAACTAATCCTCCATAATTTGAAGAGAAAAAAAAAAAAAAGAAAAAGAAAAAGAAAAGATGAACAGGTCATACATGTTCATGATGAACAGACCCATCAGCAGCAAATGCCGAGTCCTGGATACGTCCTTCAGAACTAAGCAAATCCAATTGGTGAACAGCTTCACGTATCCCTATTTTATACTTCACTATCTGATTCTTGGCTCTTTGTAGTTCCTTTTCTGGTTTTATCTTTTCCCGACTGAAAGGAGAGAATTCGCATTATGCAAATTATGCAACACACGCTGATAATAATACATCAAATTTTTTCGAACAGCATATAATCTGTAGCCAGCTTCTCTGAGTTAATAGGTTTGTGTTTTTCTTTTCAGTACCATAACAACCAACTGTACGCATACCATTTCAGACTCCTACACAATCAAATTGTTTTCTTTTTTTTTTGTTTCTTTTTTTTTCACATGAGTAAATTGAGAGTTTTTCCCCTTTCCTCTTCTCACAGCCCACACAATTACTACATATTCGCAGGAAGAACACAGTAAATAAAAATAAACAAATAAATAAATCGGATTAGAATTTGTACCTCTGACCTTGCCAGCCTTCTGCGGAGTAGGCATCAATAAAATTCTGCTCCAGATTAATTTTTATTAACAGGTACTTTGTCCTTCTCTGTAACCGAGAAGCTTCATCAAGCTCCACATTATTTCCCCCCTTATTTTTCCTATTATTTTTCTTCGTACGCTTTACATCTCTAACACCTGTTTTCTCATTCTCCTCAGTGTCATCTTTTGACGTCTTACGCTTTAATCCACTCGAAGGTCTCTTTTTTGAGGCTTTAGCCTTACGCACAATGGCCTTACTGACGATCTTATGCCTCTTCAAGCTTACACTCACATTGCCTTCACTTAAGTGTTTCGCGACTTTTTTCTTGGATAACGATGAGTGACCGTTACTACAGAGTCTCAATTCTTGCTTCAAACTCTGTAAGGTCCTTTCATCATCGTCTTTATGCAACTTCTTGCAAATTTTTCCCTTGGTGGCTCCGGGCATATTATATGATTCAACTAAGAATCAAACTGGAAATTCATACAAGAGACGAAAAGATCGGTACAGAAAATTAAACAAAGTAAAAATAAATGGCAAATCACACTAGCATCTTGACCATGGGATTTCAATTTTTGCAAGAAACAAACACGATGTTCTATTAATCCACCCAATCTAACCAACGAGCCCCAATTCAAGAACCATGATCACTTCAAACACGACCTACTAAGATTGAAGCAGCAAAGTTAAGAAATTTGATCAAACACTTGGAGTGCAATTTAGAACGAAATTAAATCACCAACAATCTTGGCAAATAAATGAGGTCACGAGTGGGCTTAAATGGGCAATTCAAGAGTAATCTAGACTGACAAGAAACAAGATTTTCAGAGATTGACATAATTTAACAGCAATGCTCAACCAAAAGGGGAAAAAAGAGGTGTCACCTTTGAGAGACAACGGAAGATCTACGGAGCTTAGGGAAAACAAAGCCGCATGTAAATATGTAATCTCGGCGAATATGTGAAGGAAAATGCTTATTTTGATTGATTCATAAGTATTGGCAGAGTATTTTCTTCGAATTTGAATATATTTGGGATTGGTGATGGGAATTTTTTTTTTTTTTTTTTTTTT